TCCTAATTTATCTATTGATTTGTGGTTAATATTGGTTTTCACAGTTACCACAAACTGATTAGTTCTCATTTGATTAGGCCCATATATATATATATATATATATATATAGTTATATACTAGTTGTTGCGCTAGTACAATTATAATTATAATTATAACTAAAAAGAGACCAAAACATAAGTTATAAATTGATTTTTATCAAATAAAACACGCAGGTGGATGAAAAAGGATCAAAAGCTTCTCACTTAACAACCGTTGGACCGATGTATTACGAAAATGCTAGTCTAGTCTAGATCTATCTCGTAAACAAATTATGTGGATGAAATCCAAGAAACCACATAGACCAACTCCATAATTTACTCGAATAATATTAGTAGAAGAAACATGTACACAATATTATTTGTAATCTTTTACATGTAGGTTTTGAGGTAATTGGTTCGTTTAATGAAAACAAATTTTACAATTCAACATAGAATAGAATAGAATAGAATGTATGCTTTTATAACAATTTTTATTGCAAAGAAAACATTTTTTTTTCCTATCCAGTTGATGTATCGATCACTACATTTTATTTTATTTGTCCCATGACACGTTCCATTAAATTTTAAATTTTAAATTTATTTTATCAAACAAGAAAATTACTGGAAAAAATTAAGAGGTTTACTTCTAAATTAAAGATGCATGTTTCTGCCTAAAATCAGCTCTAGAGACATGAACCCAAACTAACTATAGAGACGTGAACCCAAACTAACTATGTTATAAACCATAACTCTAGAGACATTTTCTATTATTAGTTCCTGCTTTTTCAACTTATTATCCCACTTAACACTGTAATCAGTAACACACAATCTACTATGACAGAATTCAGGTTCATGTCTAGATAGACTTACAGCAGCACGGATGTTTGGCTGCAAAGCCATAGGGAAAGAAGATGCTTCTTTTGTGGATTGATCAACTTCTTTGATAGAGAGTCACCTACAACAATTAACAGGTTCAGGGAGTCACCTACAACAATTAACAGGTTCTTGAAACAGAAATAATGTACAAGTAATAAATTTACCCAAGGGATTGTTTTTGGTGGTTCACTGCTCCATCCCTGGTATGAATCTTCATACTTATGCACCTTCTCTTGTAGTCTTGTAGAAACGGATGTATTCAATAACCTATAAAACTTAAGACGGATGCGACATTAGTAAAATCTTTAAATCTGGTACAGAAAATGATCCAAAATATCACAACTTGTGGCTATACCTCTAACATGAATGATGCCTTATCTTTCTTTTGATCGCCATGAGGGATGATATCTTGCAACATTGAAAATCTACACAAGTTTCAAACTTCATTCTTATAAATCTTGGTAACTTTTGTTTGTATGGTAAGCAGGGTATCTAAAGTGGACCATATAGCATGTTGAATCTTTCTGACATGCATGCCATCATCTATAACCGTGGTCCTGCTGCACTTGCAAGGTTGAAGGTTTACGAAGGGGTTCCCACTCCTTACAACAGGAAGAAGAGGATGGTTATCCCCGATGTTCTCAAGTTAGTCTATGTCCTTTCTTTCAGCACTTTTATGCTATTTCTGGGTTTTTTTGAATTGGAATGCTTTATTGTTTGCTTGTTTADTATGATGTGTAATTGCAATRCTTTTGTCAATAAAAATGTAGGGTTTTGAGGCTTACAGTTGGACACAAGTATTGCTTGCTTGGCCAATTATCATCTGAGGTTGGCTGGAATCACTATGAAACCATCAACGTAAACATATGTGCTCCCTTATCGCTAGCTTTGTTATGGCATTTTCTTAGTGTCATGGGTTTTTCGACTTTATTGACGTTTCTCTTCATATTTCATTTTTTTCTTCCATGAACATATGTGAGTCACCTTTGGTGTTGCAAGTTCTTTAATTCTCTTAGTATTATATCGTAGTTCAAAAATGACAAATTTATGCACTTTAAAGGCTTAATTTTATTGGGCTTATAAGGTACGTAAAGCGTTAAGTGGGCCAAAAAATAAAACGTCTTATTAATTAGTACTTTCACTACCAAAGTTACTACCAAGGTTGTTTATTTTTATAGAAAAGTTATGTTTTCATATTGCATACTTATTAATTAGTACTTTCAYTCATGATTTGTTTCCATTCTGGTTGAGGTGCTAATGCAATGATTATTACTTTGCTCAGTGCGAGATTAAATTGGTCATGTTTATGTTGTTGATTTTGAATTTTTGTTGCATTATGTTGTACAATGATRGTTTATGTTATATATAGAGATAAATAGARGACAAATCAAATGCAAACCATGRAAAKGTTATAAACCATAGTTTCTRTTATATRTARAGAAGATAGAGGACAAATCAAATTTTTATTGGTTTGTATGGATTGTAACCTTTCCATGGTTTGCATTTGATTTGTTTTACAGGTTATATGTATTTTTGCTTTCATCTTCAATGACACATGACATACTTTTGCACTTAACGAATCATTTTTGGTATGCATTCGCAGGCATTTGACGTAATCTACCTGTTAAAATAGAGAAATCCTTGCCAAGGCTAAGTTTAGTTGTTGTTTTGGGAAGGTAGCTTCCTCAATAGTGGATGATCATAGAGGTATGGAAATTTATATATAATTCATGCTTCAAGTAGCGTTTCTTTAACTCTTTTTCCACTTACATAGTAATAATAGCTTGTGTGATGCTAACAATTTTCTTGGAAACTTTCAATAAACAATCGGGGGAACCACCTTGATGTTAGTAGAGGTAAGTAAGACCACCTGCTAAGATCATTTAGGTAGCATTTGGTACACATACGTGATTTGATAAGGAGTTGCTATCTGGGCATGTTTGATGTTTGTAAATTATTCTGGATTAAATATTCTACTTTTTGATTGAATAGACGTTTTTACAGTTGTGGAGGTCAATGGTTTTATTGTTTAGGATTAGATTAGAACAACTCCATTAGTACTCTAAAATGGAGTTTTGCTTAACTCCAACCAGCCTGCAACGAGAACTTAATTTTGGCGGTGCAGGCCTCATGATTAAACGACATAAATGTTGTGTGCTTAGAGATGAGTTTATTTTTGGTGTCCATGCCCCACCGATTTGCAGTTCTTTTTAGTGCTAGAGTTGGAGTTGCTTTTATGGGCCAAATTCACGTCTGTAATTGGAACAATAACTCTTATTTATTCAAAATGTATTAATATGTAAAAAACTAAGAGCAAATCATATCATTCAAAAAGTCTTCTCTTGCGAAAACACAAAAAGCCTCAAAATCGTTTACATTTACGACTCCTGCCGCATTGCACGGGTACACAACTAGTCTATCTATATCTATACAACATATATAACCTTTTAAGACAAAGTCTTAAATACAAGTTACTAAGCATAAGTTACAATGGTTTTATACAACAAATTCAAAAAACTCTTAATTATCAAAAATTACCCATTTTGGGCCTGTATCCTTTTCAGTCTTTCTTCTTCTTCTTCTTCTTCTTCTTCTTCTTCTTCTGTTTCCTAACTCTGCTACCACAAGACCAATTTTTCCTCTTCTTCTTATCCTTTCTCTGCTACCACAATACAAAAAGACATTTTTGGTTAGAAAACAGAGCCCTTTCTTCTTCACAGGACATAACAATGGTGGTATGGATGTATCACCTCGATCAGAGAACCGATTTCATGTATCGAAGTGATTTGATGTGTCACAACCTCATTGATACATATAGCTCCCTCCTCCCTGTTGATTTAATTTCACAGGTTCTTCAAAACCCTAGAATTTGGAGGTATGCTTTTTTTTGTATGCTTTCTTTCTGTTCCGATTTCATCTTATATACACACACACATCTGTTTCTTCATTGATTTTTGTGGGTCTGTTTCCTTTTGATTTTTGTGGGTGAAGAGCAGCTTTGGAATTCATTTATGTTCCGATTTAATCTTATACACACACACACGCATCTGTTTCTTCATTAAAAAAGAGTTCTTGGTCTGTTTACAAAAAAGAAAGAATCTGTCCACTGTTGGTTTGGTCCATTAAGTTTGTAGATGGTTATGTAGTGTAGGTAACTTGAACCTTGCTTGATGGATAAATTGGAAAATGGTAAGATAAGTTGCAATTTTTGTTTCAACAGTTAAGTGGCTGCCTGTGAATAATGCAGGCAACAAATGGTGAATTTGGTAGAAAAATAGTTCAAATAACTGACTTGTATGGATGCTGCAGATAATGATGTTTGACTTAATACCATAAATAAGAAATTCATCCCTACACATATAACCTGTAATCCCMCCACCCCCACCCCCACCCCCAAAACATGTAAACAGGTTGTAAAATCCAGTTAATGTAAATTATATAAATATTCTTTTGCCAAAGCAGCAACTCCATTTCATCTTACACACACACACACACACACTGTTTGGGACTGCTGTCTGGTTATGGACTTACAAACCAGATAGCTAAGTCCATCTAAGTCAAACATGTGTCCAGCACTGTCCAAGGGAATCAATACTTGAAATCAGCTGTTTGGTACTGCATTATGTCTCTGTGTGTGTTTGTCCTGCTGTTTTAAATCACGCATAATGTTGATCATGCTGACTGCTATAATATATACATATATAGACACACACGCATCATGTAAAGATGTGTGTATATATGCGCATGTGCATATAACATTTCACCATTCATGTATACTAGAATCAGGTTAAATCTGTTGTAGGATTTCAAGGTCTAAAGCATTTCAACGTGAGAATATTGTGTATATATAGCATCTTAGTTTACAAAGGACCAAAATTAACAGCTTTTTTTTAGTTTGTGAAATTTGGTTATAAACAGCTGCCATCCTCATTTTGTTTTTGATTTTGTTATGGTCTGTTTCCATTTCATCTTATAGACACACACACACATATCTGGCCACACTGTTCATTCCAACCTGTTTAGTGGTTGTAGGTAACTTTGCAGCAGTCTTGTACAATTTATTAAGCTGGCCCTTTTTTGGTTGGAACTTTACATGAATATATCAACAGAAAAAAATATGAGCTATTTGTATGCATCAGTCTTGTACAATTTACTCTAAAACTGAGTAGTTCAGTCTAAAGTTAGCAAAAAGAGGGTGTCAAGTCACAAGGCTCAACTTAAGACTTATGTTTTGAAAGGATGTGGGGATCCATGGTTTTCTGGTGCTGCATGGAAGTCTTGTAAATGAGTAAACTTAGAGGGAAGTCCTGAACTCGATGCTTCAGTGCATGCAGCAGTAGCTTTTTCTAACCTCTGGAAGGTGCATGTATTGTGGCATTACAGTAGCAGCAGCAGCAGCAGCCTCAGCCTGCTTAATCAAAATTGTGAGAAAAACAAAACACAAACAAATCAATTGCATGACTCTTACCATGGTAAGCGCTTACAAAGTAAATTATTGAATATGATGTCGTTTTTGTGAACCAAAATCTTACCCGCTAAATAAATGATAGTGTTAAATTTTACCGATRAGCACTTACCAAATAAATGTTTGGTAAACAGCYCCTAAGTTTTGCAACCKCCATTTTGCAAGTGTCCAAACTTATAAATGATCTGTCACCTACTATGTTATAGAAACCACATTATGTAGATAACTGAATGCCACTTGCGTGATTATTGTCCTAAATTATACAGTGTCKTAAGAGTTCTAGGCAAACTAAAACAAGAATCACGTCAAACATGTAATGGTACCGAATTGTCAAACATGATTATTGTCCTAAATTATACAGTGTCTTAAGCTTCTCATCATAACTTCCATTATCACCGAAACCCAACTTGTGTATGGTCTGACCTTGGGTCCAAATGGGTYGTTCATAATCTTTCATATGGTTATATAATTGCCACAAGTGTTCATATGTGTCATGTTCATAACTGCKCCAAGTGTTCATATATGTCAAATTRTGTTCATAATTTTCAATAGTGTTCATATATGTCCAATTTGTGTTAATATAAGTACTATGAGGGTCCATATGCCAAATATGGCCCTGATGTTTAACGACAATTTGCAGCAGCGGCGCTTTTTATCGATAATGCCCGGTGGGATGGCGTTYTGTTTCTTAWGAAATCCGGCAAGGCCCTCAATACTAGACGGTATACCTTCTTTTTACGCTACGTTTATTAGCTTCCAAGTTTCAAACCGAGTACTCGAATGAAATATGATTTGCAAAATCTCAAGGCACTACAACCAAATCACATTTATAGGATGTCAAATATGTCTAAGGGGTTGTTTGGTTGGGTTTCCATTAAGTGCGGTATGAATAAAGCTGTCTATGTGAATTAATCTGCCTGTATAGATTGAGAAAATTTTTGTTTGGGAGGGGAAAAAATTGCTTTCTGCATAAATTGTGATATTTGTAAATTGTGAATTACATTTTGAATCACAAATGATCTTATACATATTAAACATGTTCTCTTACATAACAAATGCTATTATGTTTCTATTATTGTTTTTTTTCTAGTGTTTAATTTGAATAATTGTTTATCACATGTGATAAAAAAAAAGAATTATATTAAAAAAATTAATTAATTGTTAATCACGTATTATTTGACGAAAATTATATATATTTTTTACAATACTCTCTTAAAAAATAAATTCTTTAAATGAAAATCTTTTACGCTTATTTTAAACGTACTAGAAGGGTACTTGTGCAATGCATCGAGATGTATCTCGATTTCAATGTCTCGTTTCMTTATTTATCTATGTTGATATAATACGGTTTTATGTGGTTTTAAGAAAGCTATACAGCTGTCTGTGCGCAGGTGGTAGCACAAATAAGGAATGCGGAAAACTCTGTCGGAAGAAATTAAGCTCTGAAGCTACTTAAAAATGGAAAAAGAAAACTGTGAGGAAGAAAGCAAGGTTTGAATCGACTATTTTGGGTTTGTGTTTTATGAGTTATAAGATTTTTGATAAAATGGTTTTACCTTGAGTTTAAAGACATGTACTTATGTAATAGAGGAAATATGATTTGAAAATCCAAAAAAGGTGATAAAGAGTCAATTACACATATTTGGTTCTTGTGATATTAAATCAATGGTAATGAACCATGATGTGAGGCACGCCATTACCATTTTCAGAATTCTAGTACCTCACACATCCTTATATAGTGAGAGAGTGAGATAGCACCTTCCCATTCCCATTCCTCCTGATTTTCTCCCATTGTGAGATAGCACCGTTTTCAGAATTTCCTCAATGGCCTTGCCTGGCTTCCGTGAAAGAATAAACGCCATCAAAGAGATCCCGGATGATATGGAGCAGGAGATGGTCGAGCAGGAGAATGCTATGAAGATTAAAGCTAAGACTACGGCTTAGCTTGCTCTTCAAATCCCTCTACTTTAAGAGAAGCTTCAAGAGTTGGAAGAGATGCTGAAAATCAACCTTGACTTGTTACTTGCCGAGGATGCGCAGATTGAAGAGCTCAAAGGAAGCCATAAGAATTTGACTGATGGAAACCCTAATAAGTGATTTTTCTTACAATCTTGATTGTGCTTATGTTTCTTATTCTTATAGTGTATAGGTAGTTGGTTAATCTTGTTTCTTGTTTTTTATATTGTAGGTAACTAGTTAATATGGTATCTCGAGTGGAGTAGAGAAGATTTAGATACCTTTCATTTTTAGAATATCTCTCAATGTTTTTCCATTAGTATGTTTGGGTTTTTACTTGTTTGCTTCGGTTTACTACTATTAAAGGTTGATTGATCAATCACTGTGTACAGCAAGAAAAAACACA